AGGTAGGGAAAGATGCCTGGCAGGAGCAGGCTGCAGCCCACAGAAGTGGTGGAAATCTTCCCCACTACTCAGGAGCCCCAGAAGTGACTGATGTCCTGGGCCGTTTCTGGATACCTGTTTATCTGAGTTGGACTTCACCTGGCCTGGATGGAGCTGTGGTATTGATGCTGGGAGTGAGTAGCAGTGTGATGTATCCATCCTGTGACATGGGGATGTGTTATGCCAGGTAGTGAGCAAGATATTGGGATTTCTGTTTGTGCTTGGTCCTCCTGTTGGTAAATCTACCACTTCTGGCATCACTGGGAGTGCAAACTCCCAGATATAATCCAATGTGTCTTTTCTTCCTCGGGGAGGATGATGTTTTATTTACAGATCTCTGTACTGCTGTTGCCGAGATTGGTGTACTTGTATACTTGGTAGATATTTGTGCTTAAGTGAGGCAATTTTTATTGTCACATTGATCTGTTTGGAGGAGGCTGGAGTATTTGTGCAATGTCCTGTTGAGGTGGTTAAGCCCAGCATCCAGTGGCTACAGCTCTGTCTAGTCCTTCCCTCATTTCCACTCATGCTACTTCACTCTTACCCCTTTCTTAGTTTCAACACTACATTTCTTCCTTGTCTGCATCAAGTTTCCATGTGTGTTCCTATTTCTGTGTCACTTTTGATATTATGATACTAGTTATTTCACTGACTTTTATCTCTCCTGTTTCAACTCCTTCTTTCCATGTCCCTTTTCTTGGACCTATTCTTGTCTGCCTTGGTCTATGATTGAAATGATGCTTTGGTTTCTCAAAAGGTTTTGCTTTCTTTAGCCCAGCATGGCAAAAAAATCCACTGTGTAGTCTCTTGAGCAGGTTCAGATCTTGCCATCTCCAGGTTCACATCCAGCACTCATACATGCAGTGAATGGGATCCTAGTGATGCAGGAAGGTCATGGGATGTGTCTTTATAGTACTTGACCTGTGGTGACAGCATCGTCTAATTCCTTTTTCATTAGCTGTGAGCTGTTCCAGATTATTACTCCTGGGAAGTTCAGTGTCCTCACAGGAAGAGGCTACTTTGGGAACTGAATGGCTTAAATGATGCACTGGATTCATTTCTTCCTCCTCTTGCCTGTTGTGACAAGTGTAGCTTGTTTAGGACAATGTTTTTGTTCTGGTTGGTTTTTGGGTTTGGTTTGGTTTGGGTTGGGTTGGTTGTTTTTTTTTAAGATGAATAAACCTGGCCAGCAGGACCAAACTTTGGTCCTTAGGACACAGTGCGGCTGTGTCCTAATCTCAGAGTCCGCAGTCCTGGTGTTATGCTCTCTGTGGAAATCCAAGCTATTTCCCAGAGCCAAGTTGAGAGGAGGAGACCAGGGCAGGAGGGGGCTCAGGTGCAGGGGCTGTGACAGCAGGAGGCAGTGACTTGCTGTCCTGTGGGGGGCTTAAAGAGTGAGAAATGTCCTGATCGGGGAGGAACGCTGGCCCTACAGTGTGCCTGAGCCTGAACCTGAGGGGCAGCAGCCCTACAGGCACTTGTACAAGGTGCCGTGAGCCCAGATTCCCCTTCTTCCTATTTGTGGTTGAGGTCAGGGCCTTCAGCCTTATCGCTGGTGGCTCCTGAGCTGTGCCAAGTTCCTTCTGCTGCTCTTTGTTTTTAATGAGAAATGCCTTTCTTGTCAAGCCTGGCACATATTCCACACAAAAATACTGGTTTTGATGGATCGGCATTTACCAGCAAAGCCATTTAAACTGTTCTCTGACAACACCATCCTGGATGTCTTCAGATTCATGACGGCCAAACTGTGTCAAGGATAAATAGAAACTGGAGCTAAATAGTGAAATGGGAACAACAGGCAGTAAAGTGTGGTGCTACCATGAGGAAAGTAATTGAAGCCTTAGAAAGCCCTGGTTTCAAAATCTCAGCTGATCCCCTGCATTCAGCATTAGGGTTGATAAACTTCTCTTTGCCTGAGCCACATTTGTGTTAAATAGAGTACTTTCCGTATGGCTCTCTGGCTGGGCTCATCCCTTTTGTATCCTTGGTCACTTACAACCCTCTATTTTAATTCGAGTTGGAAGCTGCGGCTTTGACTGGGGGAGCAGAGCTGATGGGATGCAGCATCCTTCCTGGCCGTCCTGGGCCAGTGGGATCTTGGCGCTCAGTGACACACAGGGCCACTGAGAGGAAACCCGAAAGGTGTGCTCGCACCACAGCTGGGCAATCCACAGGTGCCCGGGGGAGCGTGGCTGGTTGAAGGGAGTTATTACTCCCCTCTGACCAGGGCTGGGCTGCTCAGGAGAGATGTTGAGATCTGGTAAGGTGGTGGATGCCTATGGCACGTGGGCTACAAAGGCAGGCTGTGGGAGCAGGGCTGGTCCAGTCTGGCAAAGAGGAGGGTAGGGGGACATCCCACAGCAGCCACCTGCTACTTGATTGAGGGCAGCAAGGAAGCCACTTCATGGTGGTGGCAGGCCACATCTAGTGCTGGGCAGCAGCCACAAGTTGCTGTTTGGGTTGGACATTAGGAAAAGCTTTCACCCTAGGCAGCTGGTGCAGCACTGGAACAGGTCCACCGGGAGGCTGTGCCGTCTCCATCCTGGGAGGTTTTGAAGACTGAGCTGAGGAAGACCAGGGCTGGCCCCACGCAGTGTTGGAGATAGTTTGTCTTTGAGCAGGAGGATAAGAAGAGACCTCCAGGGATCCAACTTGAATTTTGCCCTCTTTCAGTTCTCCATGGTGGTGCTGTGAATGAAGGCTGTGTGCCTACATGGTCACTGACTAACAGTGGAATCTGTTGAGCAACTGCTCAGGAGAGCAAGAAAAAGAAATTGTGTGGGAGCAGGGTTTTTTTTAAGAGTGCATGACTGAGAACATTCCTTGAAAAGTGGTCAGGGAGCCTCATCAAAGCAACCTTATCTATTGTATAGCAAAAAGCATTTCTTGTTTGTTAAACACTTATGACGAGATGCACTGCTGTGATCCAGCTAGTATACACTGCTCTGGCAACACAAAGTGCCTGTAAAATCAGCCTAATTGGCTGATTAATCTGGGTTTATAGCTGCTTCATTTTGTTAGGGTGGTGAGGAGCAGCTAGAAGAGAGAGGCTGCTGAAGTCCACGTGTTTAAACTGATGATCCGTCTCTCTGTAGGCAAAGTAAAAAGGCAAGGTTTACCATGCTGAGCTGCTGCCCAGTGTTCCAGTAGAAAAGCTGAGTTCTCTGGGAGCGTGCTGTTCTCTGCATATGTTATATGCCTCATCAGCACCAAAACCTTGCATTTCTCGCAGGGGTTTCAAGAGAAGCTCTGCAAACAGATTTGAGAGTTACTATGATCCCTTCCAAAGGGTAATTTGATAGAAGAACGTTTGTTGGGAGTGTGTAGGAAAATGCAACCTTGCCAGCAAATCGAGACCAGTGAGCAGTTCGGTTATAGAAGGTGTCACTGAGCAGAAATAGTGGAAAAGGACTGCTTTTGGTGTATATAGGAACATGCAGACATCAATACATACTTGAAGTAACATATTTTAAGTGCTGTCCTGAATAAATATGAACTCTTGAACAGGTGCTGGAAAGAGGATCTCACTATTGCTCTGACAGGGGGTACTTTGGTGCATTGTCTTTTGTTGCCTGTCCATGCCTCTGGCAGCTGTTGCTGTCCCAGCCTCTTGTTCTCTTGAGATTGCTGTGGTTGCAATGACTGGCTCAGCCAGCAAGTGAGAGGGTTCGAATACAACGTGTAACCTCAGTGCTGGTAGGTTCACACAACCTTGTGCTTGGTGGAGTGGCATTGCTAGAAGAGATTGGGGGAGATCTGCTTTGAGTCCGAAATGTGAAAGAATAAGAGGCAAAAAATCACTGCAAGTGTGGGAGATCTCAGTCCTGGCTGGTGCTGCCAGTGCCTTTCTTCCTGCTGTCTGCTCTGCTTGCAGCCTGCACGGTAGCACAGTGCAGGTCATACGCAATGGAGAATGCCACGAAAACTGGAGATGCTGTCCAGAGCAACCAGGCTGGTTGCCTGAGTAATCTGTGCATCAGTGTCACTTCTTAAAGAGTGCTGCTAACTTGCCAGCAAGTATAAAAATAAACGACTGACTCACATACGGTACCTGTTACAGTGGTGGATGCTCAAGGGATCATAAAATGGGAGTTTGGGAAGTCAAAAGTTGAAGCATGTGCAGAACAGGCCTGTTAAATACGAGGCTGTCAGAGAGCAGAACCATTAGTGATGGGTTTAGAAGAAGAGAACCTGCTTTTAATGTGGATTACTTTCTAAAAGAAAATTTAAAAATAGTGAAACAGTTTTGTGCTTTACGCTGACCTTTAGCACTTGCCAAAAAAATAGTGTACTGGTGTGCCCGAACTAAGGAAAGGGGATTTTTTTAAAAAAGGAAAAAACTGAACAGGAAAGCTACAAGGCATCCCCTGTTTCTGGCAGGAGTCCTTGTATGATGATATGTTTTCACTTTCAGTGTCTTGCACCAGTCTGTCTGAAGAGCCTGGGAAAAGATGCTATTGAGTATTGTACATCCTTCTTGGAAAACTTGTTGCTACTGCAGTTGGGTTTTACAGCAAAATTAAAAAACTATAAAATTATGTCCTTTATTCTAATGTAATTTAATGTGTGTGCTAGCAACAGACATATGTGGGCTGCTATCCATCACATGCTTCATAATAACTGTGACGGATTTTGTGTGTGTGTTTGCTTATTTTTTGAAGAGAAGGACATGCCAAACAGACCTCTGAGAGTGCGTGCCCAGTCACCAGATGGCAAGTTATCTTTTCGATGGAAGCCACCTTATGGAGCAGGCTTCAGGGGTCCACGCAGCAGATCCCAAGGTTCCCTCCGTGGGTATGGAGAGAGCAGCCGAAGGATGAGCTATGCTCCGCTGCTGCAAGAGCGACAAAACCAGGAAGCAAGAAAACTAGGTGAGTTGGATTTCCCTGACAGCATCTAGCTGAGCTAGCACACTTCGCTAATCCCCTGTGGCTGCTAGGTGATCACAGATCAAAATGACTTCTTCCTTTAAATTGAAATGCTCGCTACAATTGCATTCTGTAAAGTGTTCTTAATAGAAAAATACGATGACCAGGGTAGAAAGTGCAGCAGACCTTGATGCTGCGTTGAAGAGACACCATGTGCAAGTTACTCATATTAATAGCAGGAGGAATGGCTGGGGAGGAGAGGCTTAGCTCAGGTTCTCCTTGCATGCGGTGGGGCTGCATTGTTCCTTGTCATATCCATTGTTCCTTGTGATATCCATTGTTCCTTGTCATATCCATTGTTCCTTGTCTTGTCCTCTCCTTACACTTTGTGGCCCTACATTATTTCAGGCCAGTGGAGAAAAAGTTAATGCTTTAATTAAATGTGTGCACGCTTACCATTAAAACTGTTTCATGGGCTCTGTACTAGTTATACTCGTGTGCCCGTGTTCTCTCCAGTTCCTTCATGAGGTCCTGGTCACTAAGGGCTCCTGAGACAGTCAGGTTGGCCTCTTCCGTGCTCTCTGTCCTGCCATGCTGTGATAGTTTGTACTCATGCCCTAGATCATCTGCCCTTGATTTAAAGGATTTCCCATCAAACAGCAGCAACAGTTTTCTTGCCCCAGAGGCTGAGTGTTCCCCTTTGCGCTTTTTGTGTCACTTGCCTGTGTCGTGGCTGACCTGTCCCTGTGCTGCTGCCCGAGCTCCTCTCGCCTGAGTGGGCGCGAGGTCTGCACTCAGGAGCCTTGCTTTGATCCTTTTCCTGCAAGCTTCAGCTGCTTTTTGCTGTTTGGGTGTGTTTGCTCCAGGTCAGGCTTCTTCCTCTCAAAATCTCTCCTATAGGCTGGAACCCCATCCCACAGATGGTCTGGTCTTTGGTTACAAAGCGGGTGATGATTCCAAAATCACACGTGGCTGCCAGAATTCCTGGCTTTGCAGTGTAAATGTCTATTTCCCCTTCTGCTTTCTGGGTTTTGTATTAAATGCACATCTTTATCTCCATTTGTCCAAAGAGAGAGAATTCCTCAGTCAACTTTAGCAGTTACTCTGCCTTTTCCTAACAGGAGTCTCTTACTTGTGTCTCAACCCTTCTCTAGTATCCCTTCCCTTTTTTATCTTTCTTTGCACCGCTCACGAAGGGGCCACTCTGGCATCTGTGCCAAGGTGGCAGGGTTGAGACATGGACGTGCGGAGGACGCTTCCCCATTTGTTTGATGCTCAGCATGTACCACTGCTCTGCAGGCTGAGAGCTTGTCCAGGCAGTATGTGGACTTAGTGGGAGTTCAGTAACAAACTTAGTCTCAATGAGAAATACTGTGTAACGTGGTTTTCAGCATCTACTTCTTGTTTTCATTACTTTTGTACTACGTTTTTTTTAAAGAAAAACAGAAAAAAATGCTTTTTAAATAATCAAATTATCAGAAGAACTCAAGGCTAGAGTATAGGTCTCTTGTAATGGTCTTTTCATGTTAATTGTTTTTCTACTTCTAAAATACCAACTTTACTGTTCTTACTGCATGCATATCGAAACCTCTTACGTAAATGGTATGAATCTAAATAAATTACCTTTCAAGGAAGTTTGACCTTTTGTATCTCGGAAAAGAATAATACAGAGTTCTGCCTGAAAAGACTGAACAATTCTTTTTGCAATGGAAAAGATTACAGGAAAGCCTCTGTTTTTTCCCCACATGTACAGCCTCTGAGTCAGTTCACGTGGTTTCAATGCCGTCAAGAAGCTCCCAAGGCCGGAGCCAACCTGTCTATAGGTCATCTTTAACTAAAAGGAAAGTCACAGGTATGTTTCTTTCACATCTGCTGACAATTCTTGGAGACATTTGAACACAATGAGATAGCTTTGTGATTTTTAGACTGCAAGTCTTTTGGTGCTGGAGCTGCTAGGTTTTTCTCTGTGTGTTAAAGAGCTTGATGGATGTCTCCGATTGCTTCTCTAAGTCAGGCAGTATTAATAAAATGATACGACTTTGCAACATTGTTGGTTGGATTTCTGTTGTTGAGTTTTTTGCTTTGTTTTTTTTTTTTTAACATCTCCTCCTTAGCTATTGGCAAACATTATGCACTGCAATATCCCCATGAAAAGACTTGATTAAATCAAAGCCAGGATCTCCACAACAGTATGCCTTCCTGTCAGATCTCCGTACCCTTTTCTGAAGGGCTGATTTCTAGAAGTCTAAATCTGGTCAGCAAACGTTTTCACTTTCTTTTGAAAAGAAGGCCTTACATACTGCTGCCAAGGTTAAAAAGAAAGAGCAAGATTCTGAGGCATCTCCATGCCAGTGCCGCTTTCTCACCCCCTTGCACTGCGATGAGAATGCCATGGGGGTGGCAGAGTGTTTCAGATGTTTTGATGGTGATGGAGAACACCTTCATCAGAACTGGGAACCGTGGTGTATTGAAATCCCTCCTCACACCTTTTCTGGGGATGTAATACCATCCAATTCTCATGCTCGCTTTCTCTCTTCAGGTTCTTCCACTGCAAAACTTTGTGAATAGGTCCCCTAAACCACTTGTGAGTAGTAGATGGGTCCTCTCAGCCACTTCTGTGTTGTAGCTGTTTGGCTTGGAACTCTCTGCATTAAAAGCTCGATTGGAAGAAGTGAGATGTGCCTCCCTGCTGCCTGCCTCCTCTGAGAGCAGTGCTGTGTTCCAGGGCAGCATGCCACCCACTGAAGAGAAGGGCAATCTTTCCCTGGAGTTCAGTCGTACAGGAATCCCTAGAGAATGAAATTGTACTCCAGTTTACTGGCCCTTTTCCTTTGCTGAGACATCAATATTTTTCCAATGTTATTCTTCTGTAAATCTCGGGCTGGAAAGTTGCACCTTGTGCATTCTGTGCCTCTGGGAGGCTTGGGAATGGTCGCTGTGACACTAATAGGAAGAGTAATAAATCTTTACATGTTTCCATGGGGTACCATCAGTAATCAATACTTAGTTTTCCACTACCACTGTATTGGTTATTCATCTCTGCTGTGTGCGTATTATAATGTCAGTTGAAGACAGTAACTGTTTTTTATGACAACTCCAATGTTGTTATTGATATGCTATTTTGTTTTGCCATTTCAGAGGAGGAAGAGGTGGAGGTGGCACAAGACATAACTGTTCGAGTTATGTCCTCTCAGTCTGTGCTTGTTGCTTGGACAGACCCACTGTATGAAAAACAGAAGGTTGCAGCAAATAGGTAGTTAGCCCTGTGTTTTCTTTTCTGAATGCATACTGTAGGTGAACTGCTGGCAAGGCACACTGCTGATTGCTTTTGCATTTATTTAATTACAGTTGGTTATGAGAATAATTTAGCTTAGGGTATAGGAATTTGTACATCCCTACCTATGAGAGTGGCTGGTAGAGGATGCTTCAGAGAAGCTGTTAGAAACCTGATGTGGGTGGATGTGGGGTCATGTACCCTCCTTGCCTCCCTGTGCCCTGATCTCTAGTATTTAGAGATCTATAGGTGTTTCTGAAATGTTGTCAGCACCAGTCTGGGATATTTTTGCTTTGAGATGACCATGCCACGGGTGAAGCATCACTCTGCAACATGAAAGATGCCCATCAATGCCGCCTGCATCCACTGACCTTCCAGAAACCTTGTGCAGCTGAGGCTAAGCAGGTCAGGGTCTCCCGTGAGCAGGAGAGCTTGGCTCGCAGCAGCATACCACAGCAGTGGGAGACCAAAAAAACCAGAGAAATGGGTTGGAATATGCCAAAAGCATGAAAGCACTGGGCTGTGTTGCTCAGCCTGGGAACAGCAAAGGGCTGTGCAACCCAGTGCTGAAACACCCTGAGGGGCACAGCAGGAGAAGTGGTCGTATTAGGTGTTCTCAGTTTCCTTGTGAAAGCGGTTATCATGTGAATTTTTATTTTCGTGCGTTTCTGGTCCCAGGCAGTACAGTGTTCGCTATCGGGAAAAGGGGGAGTCGGCAAGGTGGGATTACAAGCAGGTGTCCAACCGGCGGGCGCTAGTGGAGAATCTGCTGCCGGACACCATGTACGAGTTTGCCGTCCAAATCTTGGAGGGAGAAAAGGAAGGCAAATGGAGCGTGTCTGTTTACCAACGGACTCCAGAGGCAGGCATGTATTAAAAAGGTCCTTGGGGTGATGCAAGTTTTAGGGTTTAAGCTGTGAAATATGGCTGACTTGAGGGAAAGCCAGAATAAGTGCTTGCCTGGGGCAGCAGAGGGTTGAGAACCTGGGGAAACCCTCCGTCCTGCTGCCTGCGTCCCTGCAGCAGTGCCCTGGAGAGCACATCGGGGCTGCTCTTGCAGCAGGACAAGAACAGAGAGAGATGGTTTGGTTTTTTTGGGGGGACCGGTCAGCAGCTTGGACCCCTGCAGCTGGATTTGCCCCTTCCTTTGGGAGGAGCAGCCTGTCCCTCTCGGTGTGCAGCAGATTTAAACCCTGCCTCCACCACAGAGAAGCCATGGGGCCCCTTTGGTACAGGGAAGTGGTCCGTAACAACTGAATTACCACATCATTCCAGCTAAGCCACAGCAGCAGTCTCATGCAGGCAGCCTGCCTAAAAGCATGGAATAAAATTTCATGACAGGAGTCTGATACAGAGATATAATACAGGCACACGTAGACCTGAGCCATGTGTGCTCTTCACATTTATCTTTGAAATGGCCATATTGGGATTTCTGCTATGAGAAGGAGCAGAAGGTGTATGCTGTGTAGGTCAACTTTTCTTACTTGCCTCTTCTGCATATGGCTGTTTCACAGCTCCTGCCAGCGCGCCTGAAAATTTGGATGTTTGGCCATTAAAGGGCAAACCAACCTCTGTAGCAGCATCCTGGGATGCTCTTCCGGAGAGTGAAGGAAAAGTCAAAGGTAAGTCATCCCTGTCGGGTTTTAACTCCCTCAAGGAGCTGGTCTTCTCGAAGCCAGACTGCCGCTCCGTAGCAAGCTGGAACCGCTGACTATGCCAGGATTTTTTCATTAGTTAATGGCTTATACCCGAGCAAAATTTTCTTGTTTCCAGCCCAGCATCTCCCCACCGCCTCTGGGAAGCCATCACCACTGTGTGCCTGGGATGTCACAGAGCTTCCCGGGGTATCGTGCATACACACATATGTCTTCTTCCGTCAATAAGCAGGTCGAAACGGAGCTCAAGAAGGAAGTTTCCCAAATCCCAAAGGATTTGTAACAGTTAGGCAAAGAAGGAAAAGTTGTGTAGTTGCAAAGAAAGTGAGTGGATTTATGTTGTGTTTTATCTCTAGTTTATCGTGAAGGAAAGCCTCGGCTTAAGAAGCAGGCACAAATAGCCTTGTGTACTATGGCATTATCGTACATGGTCATAAAGCTAATTTGCCAGTGGCTATTTACTTGCACAGGATTTTAGGAAAAAGCTTTCTGGGATTTTTTTTTTTTCTTTCTCCTTCTGAAAATGAACAGGCTGATATTTTGGCTGCTCCCATTCTCCAGTGGTTGATGGGATTGTGTTCTCAAGTTACACAAGTTTCTGAAGGTGCCTTATCAGCACTGTAGCATCTCAGGATTTAAAAAACCTTTAGCCTGGAGGGAAGTCTACCGTGTCTGTATACGAGACCTACTTTATATGTGTTCTCCAGGGCAGTGGTGGAATTCCTTCCTCTTTGAAGTCAGTAGGAGTCTTGCCAATTGCTTCAATGGAAATGCAATTGTGTCCAAGAATTATTATTTCTTAAAGTAAGGTCACGCAGGGACGCTATCTGAAAATTCAAATCTGCTCCTAATTTTGAGCCGTCTGTATACCTCTGTCTGTTTTTGTCTGCTGATCTTGAGATGTTTCATCCAAGGCAATCATTTTAATGATACCTGATATTCAAGGGCTGAATGCTTATATGTGTCTAATAGATCATTGTTTTCCTTGAATACGAAGTATTACAGGAAAGGTCTTATTTTTAAACTAAATAAATAACACAAATGACAGTTATACTGGCTAAATGAAACCACTGAATTATCACTCTATAGCTGTTTGCTAGCACGTGGTAGTCAGGAATTTTTTCTCTTTTCATCCTTTTGTTTTTCAACCCTGTCATTTTATGTATTTGTACCACATTTTTACATTTGCATATAAAATATTGATGATTTTTTCCTTGATTTTGATGACCTCTGCATCTCTTATTTCTTAATGCAATGCATATAGTCTCATTTTAAAAAAAAAAAAATTTAGTTTCCTGTTTTAAATGTGTTACTATGTTCTGGAGGTTTCCTGGCACTGTGATTCCTCAAGTAGTACAGTATTTCCTGGTGTAGAGGGAGAAAACTGGCAGCCCTTGGAATTTATTTTCAAAGTGCTGGTTTGGTCCAATACCCGTGCCTCTTGCAGAGGACTGAAGAGAAAAGGAAGACTGCACATGGCTGAGATCTTACCTACACTCCTTGGGAGTGTAATGGGAAGACTTCTCTTTGTGCCTACAATTATTTCTATGTGGGTGAAATTTCTCTCGAAGCAGAAAGCTAATACAGAGCACAGGTACCACAGTAATCCCAAACTGAAAGGTGGGAGCAGGGTGAGTTTCGTACGTGGCAGCAAGACCTTGTGTTTCTCTCTCTGCAGAGGTGTTTGGCCCCAGCTATATTTAAGCATAGTGTGTCCAATTTTGGTTTTGTTGGACAGATGCGCTATTGCTAACATTTGGCAATATGCAGTGCTGTTGTCTCCTGATAGAAGTATATTTTCTGAATAAGAACCTCAGTCATCCAGGCATGAATTTTACCCAATGGCCTGTAGATTACAGCTAAAATCCCTCTCAGCAAAGACTCAGCTGGAAACACTTATATTTGACTGCAGTAATATTGTTCCCATGATTAAAGTAAGTGCTTTGGTGTTTTCACGGGTATGCCCCTCAGGCTCCAGCACTGCTGAAGAATGAGTATATGGCCTTTGGAGCTGGTAGCATTTCGTCACAGTGGACTGGCAGAGCTGCTCTTGCATGATTGGGGTCTTAAAGTACAGTGCAATTCTAGCTGTGTCAAGGCTCTGTTGGAAATGTAAGATAAGAAAGTAATTGTTACTACTGAATAATGTCACCTGATTTTAGTACTGATGTCTTAAATGCTAACTAAGTGAATACACCATTTTTTTCTTCTTCCAAATAATTTCTGTGGGAAAGAAAATTTCTAATGTTCTTACTTGCTGTGGACCTAGCTACAGTCAGCAACGCAATTGTGTGTTGTCCACTATTGTAAGCAAGTTATGTTTTGGAATAAAGTTCTCTGGGTTGTTTATTGAAAATAACTTGGTAGCTAATCAGTCAGTTCAGAATTTCTGTTTCTCTTGAGAAGTCTAAAATCTGCTTGTGGTCCATCAGTCATAAAAGCACAGGTATTCTGATTTTAGCGATATGCGCTACCTAACATTTGCACAGTCTTTCAGACTAGATTTCCACAAGTAGTAGAATAGTGCATATTTTCCTGGCAACGTTCATACATGTTTTCTGCTTACAGTGCATTTTCTTTTTGTAGATTTCCTCTGTTATTTCTGATTTAGGGCCGTTAGTTTTTTCAGAGGACTCGTTTTTTTCCCTTTATTAGTTGGCTTCCAGAAGCAAAAAAGCTATCCTGGTGCAGCATGCTGAACCACACAGTAGTTGGTGCTGTAACTTTCTCATGTCCCCGTACCTTCTCTGGAATGTACAGCTGTCATCCGGATCCTGTTGGTGACTCTTCACTCTGATGGGCATTGTTGCTTATGTATTTTTACAAAGGTATAAGCTAACATATTCTGTCTCAGTCATTAGGTCATCGATGTGATTTGGGTTTGTCTGTTAACATGAACAGATGTTCAACTTACCTACATATATGTGTGTATATATATATATCTATTATGTCTTTGTACTCCAGCTGTTGACTCAGCGTGCATTGCTAGTGTATTAATTTTAGTAATGCACGTTCTAATTCATCCTACCCATACAGTCTGTCCGCTGGAAACAGGACTGTTTTCAGTTTCCTCCTTCCAACCGTCTGCCAAATCATTTCAGAATACATTCTTTCATACGCCCCGGCTCTCAAGCCATTTGGAGCAAAGTCCATCACCTACTCTGGAGCTACAACATCAGCCATAATAGATGGTCTGCAGGCCGGGGAGCGCTATATTTTCAAAATTCGTGCAGCAAACAGGAGGGGACCAGGTCCTCAGTCTAAAGCCTTCAGTGTCGCCATCCCAGCAGGTGAGCACCGTGCCATGCATCGATTGTGTAGTCTGCCCATTCTTGCCTTGATCCCACTTGTGTTCATTTTTACTGACTTTTCTTAACTTCCTCAGCGCTCCATCTAACCCATGAGATTTTACTTCCTTAATATTGTTTCTGTTACTGCAGCATATAAAAGGACATGTTACGGACATTTTAACATCTTAAATAAGTGCATACCATACTCTATTTCTTGCATGAAAGCACTATGTGCTCTTCTTATCCAAAGGTCAAAGAATACAGTGCTTTGAGTCTTCAGTTGTGCTATTCCTCACAATTCCTACTCTTGAAAATCAGTTAGACTGCCTTACTCAGGTACTACTCCTTGCATTTCCTTCTTGCCAAAAAGATGCTGTTGTGGGGACAGAAGATTTGCTGAGTTAACTAAGAATGTGGGCCACAGCCTCAGATGGGATAATGCAGCACCATGCCATCAACGTGACTAAGCTCTGCTGAAGATTTGGTTCCACTGATATGGTGTTGTGGTCCCTGCTTTTAAATGTTTGATTTAAATTGCTCTAAGTTTTACCCAAGTTACAATAATTCCACGTAGGCTGGTTAATACAGAAATAATTATTGTCTCATATTCTCATAAGTTGTCTTGTTCTTGTTACGTGGCTGGTTTCTTCTCTTAGTGAGTTTTTTGTGCTGCTTCTATTGTTATGAATAAACACTTTTTTTTCCCCCCAGCTGCTCATGAGGATTCTGTTGCTCAGCAAAAAAAAAATATTCAAGATAATTCAGAGACTAAAAAACCTGGGAATGCTGGCTCATCTCCTTCTCAAACTTCCTCTGTTTCTTCAAAAGTCCAGCCATCGCTTTCCTCTAAGCAGTCACCTGTTCGTTCACCTAATGTTAGTGATAAAAAGAGTCTTCTTTCTGAATATAAGAATAAAATATTGACTCGAGGAGGCGTCCTGAGTAAATCTCAGTTACCTTCCAGAAAGACAGTTGAGCTGGAACCTGATCTCCAATCTACTGAAGTGACAGACGATCATGATTCCTCCCAGGAAGCTCCAACGACGCCTCCAAAAGCCCAGGATCAGGGGAGAATTGTTAGACCCTTGTCCCCTCATCGGCCAGTCCACCCTGTCCTTGCCTCAGGGAGAACCCCGGTTCGAACTCACACATCAGAAGTGTCACGGCAGACGAGCACAGAGAAACATGAGCCACCAGCACTGTTACCATCATCAGCACAACATTCTTCTGCCTCGTCTGTTCCTAAATACACAGATAATGAAACAAAACAAATGAGGCAAAGCAACACTAATGTGCCTTCTAAAACCTCTTCCCATCCTCTGCCTGCCAAAAATAATGATCTTGCAGGTAATGTGAAAGGAAAGCCAGACCCTGTGCTGGTGAAAGTGTCTTCTAAACCTTCAGACCCTAATCGCCTGGCTTTGCCGTCAAACCAGAAGTCTGCTATCTCTCATGAGGTTGTCCCAAGCCATCCCAGTAGGTCTGGCTCTCTAGGTCATTCACATCAACCCTCTTCCAAATCAGCAGGTTCCCATGCTCGTGATAGCCATAATGAGTTTGACAGCGAAGAAGCAGAGGACAGAGCAAGACAGCCCAGTTCTAGATCACAGCAAACAAGGCTGCCCTCAGGCTCCAGTTCTCACACGTGGAAGGATTCAAAATTAGCTGCGGTGGCAGTCTCATCAAGGTCTCCTGTTTCTGGTCACACTTCACCTCACTCTCACTCCTCCAGCAGTGCCAAATCTGACGGAAAGGATATTGATAAGAATTATAGGGAGGACTCAGAAGATGCAAATCCCTTATTTCCTTCTCTACCCTCTTCCAGGCAGTCTTCTTCAGCAATCTCTTCCAAGAGAAGAAATCCTCAGGTTGATTCTGATTCTCACCTCAGAGACACACATGGTAAAAAGTCACCCCACTCTGACTCAGCAGAACAACAGAGTCGAGCGGCTGCTGCAGAAAAGCATTCTCTTGTGCAATCTTCTCTTTCTACACGTAAGTCTGAAGACCAGGACAGTCGAGAGGTAAAAGAAACCCTTGCTCGATCAAAACCAAGTATGTCTTTGCCTAAAAAGATGTTCCCCTCTCGTCTTCCTTTGGAGAAGACGTCCCGCTCAGAGCCTCCGCAGAGGGCACAAACAAGTCCTTCCTTACTGCATTCAAGGGGCCGGCGCCTCCCTTCTCATGTCCCATCGCAGAGTAATGAAGAATTGCAGGAAGATGACGATGAGGATGTAACAGAAGGCAGTGACAGAGCAAGCAGCCGCTCTGTGTTTCCTAAAGACGTGTCCTCTTCTAGGGGATTACCTGCATCATTCTCTCAGGGAAGCTCAAGTTCATCTCTATCAAAGCAACAGCAGCCAGGTTCTCAGGTAGCTTCCTACAAACCAAAACTTACTCAACCAGACTCCAGTTCTGCCAGTGATACAGCAAAAGACAACCAGTATAATCCAAGGTTGTCATCCACTTCTTCGAGACAAGCTCGTCCTTTGTTACCTACTCGCTCAATGGTCGCTACAAGAACAGCGTCCCAAACAGAGAAAAAGTACGGCCTGTTGCCCTCAAAAATGTCCAAACCTGAACTTCCTCGAAAAGTTCCTTCCTCCTCTTCATCTAAATCTCGTCAGTCAGTTTCTAATGAAGAGGATGATTATTACAGTGAATATGATCAGAAGGAAGTGAAAGAGAAACCCACATCTTCGGCGGCAAAATGGTCCCCTTCTGTTTCTAGAGGTAACAAAAACACATATGATGACACTACTAGCAATAAAAGGAAATCTATGGACACTCTTCTACCTCACAAAGTAAGCTCTGAAGAGGAAGAGAAGGAAAAAACTCCAACATTAAAAATATCTTCTCCCGAATCACCAGGAAGCTCTGCCATAGCATCACGGATTACTCAGTCCTCTAACAAGCATACCCCATCTAAACCAACCTTTGTCTGGCCACGTTCTTCTGCATCTACCACCACACACACTGTTTCTCCAGCAGTTTCTTCTTCCACTTTATCCCCTCGACAGCGACTATTGAACTCCAGGCTACGGAGCCCTTCCCAACGGCAATTTGTTAGACCTCCTTATAGACAAGGTATCTTGTCTTTGTTGTAGTAATCTCACTGAATTGTATTTTTCCTAAGATCAGCAGTTAGATGAATGCCCTCCATCAGAATGCAGGGTCAGTCATTTAGTATAATGTATTACTTTTTATTTTGGTGGTTCTCAGGGAGCCCAATTCTTGAGGATGTTGCCTAATCAGTGTAACCTTTGGTCCTGTGGTCTGATCTGCGCAGGATCCCATGATCCACAGAGGAGATGACAGGGTTATGTACTATATTGGAAAAAGTGCTATGTTCCTTATTGAGCAATAACTACACTGACAGCACATTTCTACTCAGAGTGTGATGGCCTCTCAGGTATATTGCTCTTCATCATATGGATTACTAAAGGCTTTTATATAGTGCTACCTTGCCCATGCCTAGACAGTAAGGTGTTTGCTCATGCTGTCCAGGCATCCTGTGTTTTCTTTAATTAATTTTTAAGCCACTTTCCTCTTTTTTTAAGTGACAGCTCAGGGTTGCACATTCCTGTTGAAGATTGCTCACGTCACAGTCAGACCCTCTAATACCTTTACGGCTGTGATTTAACCCAAATGTTAGAGGCTTGATTTCTGGCAGAATATCTGCTGATGCTGGGTAGCAGAACAGTGGGTCTGCCACACGTCAAGGTGTGTCACCTATTGATTCCCCATCTCACCTATGGAGAATCCCAGACGGTCTCAGTGACTTTGCTAGGTAGAAATGTTTTTTCTCCTTCCAATGCGTGGGCATCCAAAATAGTATTGAGTGACCTGACTATTCTCGTAAATACCTTCTATACTATATGTAGGCAACAATGTTTTGTTCAATGTAACTGCACTGTTATACAGTGAGGACCATGCAACTTGGCTATTGTATTTGCTATGCTTTAGTGAGACTCAGTGTCGTGTAGAGGTCCACCAGCTTGCAGAGCTTTAAGATGGGAGTGGACCTTAAATAATACCATGGAGAATAAGATGCATTGCATGAAAGAATGACAGGTTTCTCTTTGGAGGTTTTATACCAGCTTACTGCTAACCATGCAATTGGGAAGTTAATAGCTGAGGAGTGTTCAGTTAATTATTTTTTTTTTCCAGTTAATATATGTATATATTATCATATGTATTTTTCTGGAGGCAAGTCTCTGAGCTTGGATGTGAAAATTGCTGCCCTTTCTGAGCTGGGGTGCCTGCAGCTCAGTGTCACTGCTTCTCCACTTCTGACCTGAGTGTGCTTCTGTGTAGCAGTGTTTTTTTCAGATAGAGAAGGAGAATCTTTCCTTTTACAGGTTAAAAAAAAAAAAAAGAAAGAAGCTAAATGCCATCCCCTCTCCTTTCAGTTCCTCACTACAGCTTTGTATAAGGATGGGACTGAATGAGTGGTTGTGTTGAATAATGACTTCCTCTCTCACCCCACTCCTCAAATATTTACGAAGATCACAAACATTTCAGTGGCTGTAGTGCCATCTAGAAATGTTGCCATACTTTCTTAAAAAACCAAGAGGGAGTAAAGAGACCAAATAAACATGGTAGAAACAAACAATGAGTGCTTACCCTCTTCAGAAGAAACCATTTCAGATGCTTACGTCAGCCATGGGGCTGTCACAACAGTTGCTCCAAGCAGAAATGAAATGCCTGTTTTTCTGAGTGTGGTGAGGGCTCTTTCTGCTCTCATTTATGTCTGGATCGGGCAGAAAATGCATTTCTTTGCATTTTAAAATGTGGTTTGTAGTATGCACAGCTTTCTTCATAATACTGTGTTTTCTTCTCTGTTTCAGGTTACAATGGCAGACCTAATCTTACAACAAAAAATGGAAATGAAAATGGAAATGGAAAAATAATACCTGGTAATAATGAAAAACCAAGTGGACAGAGAGTAATCAATGGCCCTCAAGGAACAAAGTGGGTAGGGTGACCTTCTCTCCAAATTCAAGATGATTTGGCCTTTTATTGTACTTACATTTTCATTAAGAAATGAGAGGATAATAGTGCCCTCAGTCAATGAAACTGTAAAGTGAGGTTACACTTGGTAATCTAGTTTCCACTGTTGCATTGAAATCTAATGAAAAATTGTGAATTTCATTATTGGAGCATTTTAAATGTCTGATTTAAAGCCTGATGGCTTGAATTTTCAACTATAGCATTACTCCCACAGATTTAGTGAAAATCATTTTATCCTTAAAGTCAGAGGGATTTAAGTTCCCCAGTGACTCAAGGATTGTCTGTTGTGCAGTGTGAGTGGGGACCGCTGGGGATAGCTGCTGTGAAGGACGTATTCAGCAATGCTTCTTCCAGACTCACACTCCAGGGAGAAGCTCATGAGCAAGAGTATTGAAATGTAAAGTTACTCCATAAGTGTCACAATGCTTTAAAGGTACATACGTAGGTATCTTTAAGCATTTTGCTGTTCATACAGACACATTTTCAGTGGTATTTTCAGAAGAGCTCAGATGCCATTGATAGGAAAGCTCCACTAGGTGCCTACAAGCCCAGACCTCATCTTTTAGAATCCTTTCCAGTGAGTTTATAACCACCCAACACAGCGAAGGAACTGGTGTTTCCTATGTGTTTGCCCAAACACTGAGCAGGAGGAGACCGTGACTAGCCTCCCTGGCATCAGTAGAGCTGCTCACACGCTGCATGACACATGGAGACATTTATTTTACAGCCACTTCAATCTTACCATTTGCATTAGAGGAACATAAAAAGGTCCATCAGGTATGTCACGTTCAAGGGAAGCATTTTGAAAAGCATGCCCAAAGCCCTTTAAATAGATTCCAGAAAGTGGGCTAGAAAGGTCCTTGGGAGGCCATGGGGCGTCTCTCTCCACGCCATCCGAGGAGGGCATTGCTGCAAGCAGGATGAACACCTTGTAAAGCAACAGGTTCTATGTGAATATCTGGGGCCTGGAAGTCTTCAGAGACTGATCTCATGATCTGCTGTCCCTCCTGCTGCATTCTTTTCTGTAGCACCAAATGTAAGTCTGTCTTGCCAACCTGGAACAACTGCTCACATCCTCTTCCCAGTTTCCTCCCAGCGCTTAACACCTTTTGCATTTTTGTATTCTGTGGCTCAGTGTCTGTTACCTCAGGTTCAAGCAGCATGCAGTTCAGCTATTTTGGGTTGAAATAACAATGATGACTGGATTTTAATGGCAGTTACCTCTTGAATTCAATCCAAACTCTCAGACAGATTTGTTTTATGAGACAGAGGCTTTTCTTCAGTCTCCTACCTCAATTAAAATACTTTAGCTACTTTGTTTTCACTGCTGTTTCGATCTAAATTAACTAGTTTGATTTCCCCTGCCCCCCACCCTTTTTTTTTTAATTAGTAGACATACTTTTAAATCCCATCTTCAAAAGGACTTGGGGTCATACTCAAATCAATATTACAGGAATCAACTTTAGGAGTTGCGCAGCTGAAGAAAATCAAGGGAGTTGCTCCTTTGCATGTGAGAGCTACAGTAGGCAATATGAATATGGTTGCTATGCAGCTCTGGAGTGCAGCTCCTGAGGATTTGCTTTCTTCAGCAGTGATTTTTCAGTGATTACTATACAATTAGTGACTCGCTCTTAAAAGTCTGTGGGTGTTGTAGCTATTCCTGAACATCCCACTTAGCATCTGAATTTCCCTGGGATTTCTGCTGCTGTGAAATTTCATTTCACCTCCTCTTGTGTTAGCTAAACTTGAGTCCATCTATTGCTTTTAGATTGTAGATCTTGACCGAGGGCTAGTGTTAAATGTTGAAGGAAAATACCTCCAAGATTCCCAAGGCAACCCTCTCCGAGTGAAATTAGGAGGGGATGGACGTACAATTGTTGGTAAGTGACAGCTTCCTTCTTACAGAAAAAAAAATCTACTGTTTTTGTGCACGGTACAAGTCTTTGAGCTGTTGAATGCTTCAGGCATCCTCAGGTCCCATGCAAGCCATTCGGAGTTGCTTATATCTCATGTCTCCATCAGGCAGTCAGCACATTTCAGGACCTGGGGAAACTTTGGGGCATCCTGTGGGGCTTCTGAGTATGAGGTGGCAAGAATCACCTGAGTCCGTCTCGCTTGTATTAGCATTAGAAAGGATTGCAAAACTGAGCCAGGATAAGGATTGATGCTTGTTTATATCTCTGTATACATAGAAATAATTATTCCCCACCACTAGCACTATACCAGCCATATGCATGTGATTTATTTTATTTTTTGTTCTGAAACTGACCACAAATAGTAAAAAATGCTCTGTGTGGTCTGTGAAAACACTGCTGTTTGCATACCAGTCCACCCATATAGATCTCTTGAATGCAAATTCAGTGCCTGCTGTTAAACTGGTCACCATTAATATTTGCAGTACCCAGAATTGGGCACAAAAATTTATCAGCATCTCACCAGCTCATCCCAGTTTTACCTTGCACATGGTTGGCATTAGGAAGCAGAATAGGGATTCCTTATACCTTTCATCAAGAGTTACGAGACTGACTTAGATTAAATGCAGGCACAGTCTGCACGTTGTGATTCTGCAGTGAAGCCTCTCTGCAGTCTTCCCAAGAAGTGTTTATCAAACAGCTGATAAAAGTGAACAGCACTGTAGTTTACCTGAGATTCTTCTGAACCATTTTTCAACTTCCTTAGCCATGGATCATTCCTAGATAACGACCACCTTCTCTGTCAGCTTGGTTAACAGGAGGCTGTAATCACAGTCTCAGTGCTCTTGTGGTATCTGCTGTTGATAGATACCATGCTATAAGCCTGAAATTGATTAATGGTGAGATTTTTTGGTTTTGTTCTTCTCTCCTAGATGAAAAGGGTGCCCCAATGGTGAGTCCTGATGGATTACCTTTGTTTGGACACGGCAGATTTAGTAAACCGGTAGCAAGTGCACAAGATAAACCAATAATAAGCCTTGGAGGGAAACCACTGATTGGTCTTGAAATGATTAAGAAAACAACCACTCCCTCAACTACTACTACAACAACACCCCCAACAACTACCACAACAACTACTACAACCACTACAACAACTGTTGCTACAACTACCACCACCACTCCTGAACCGACCACCACTGAACCACCCACTGAGAAACCACCCCCAACTTGTCCTCCAGGCACCTATGCACAGTATGATGATGAGGGCAACTTGCTGTTGGGGTTTGATGGCCTGCCAGAGTGCAACGCAGAAGGTAACTTCCTTTTGTGCTCTTTGGACTTCTTTGGTTGCGCTGTTCATACAGCGCAGCTGCACAAGTGTGAAGCAGGAGAGAATCTGCCTCTGAAGGTTTCTGTCGATGCGATAAGGTAGGAGCTGAGGTTAGAGCAGCTGAAGAAGGGTTTGGGTGTTAAATGGTTTTTCACTGGAAAATGTCAGCTTTCCTCAAAGTTGAAGTTTTTCATGGAAATATGTTGATTTCAGCAGAGTTCTCATCTTGTGTTGGATCAAGTCATGTCACATGTATTCATGCGCATGAGCTCATGTTTTGTGGTCAAAGCCCTCACCTATAATGAAGTCATCACTCCAGTTCAGGACAGGGAAGGACCTAATGGCACTATACATTTTGTCTATTTTGTGTTTATTTCTCACAATAAATTCTGAAAAGTTTCTCTTTTGAGCCATCGTGGAACTGGCTTTTGCAAAATGAGATTCTTGTTCTTTTGCCAGTCCTCAGAGAGAGAGATTGTCTGGCAGGAATGTAGCACAGCACAGATGATGCTGGGGCAAGACAACTCTGGCTCTGCACAGATAAGCCAGAGAGTTGTACACTAATTATCTTTCTCGTCTGAAAATAAAAACCAGGGTTGGTACGTGTCATTATTTCCCTGTAGCAGTTATACAAGCTTAAGACGTGGTGCCAAACTGAAATCCAAAGTAAACAAATATAAATGCACTGGAGTCTTTGGGTGTTGACCCGGTTCCTACCATGTTTTACCCTTTCATCACTTGAATGTTGTATTGCAAACCAGTCACCTGCTTATCTTGCAAAACTGGATCAGGGAGCACCACGGTAGTCCTTATCCTTTCCAGTCGTAGGTAATCCCCAACTCGGTCTACAAATGGGCAGTAGAAGCATGGCCGTAACCTAAACAAAGGGATGGCAGTCAGACATCTGCCAAGTGCAGTGGCCAGTTTTAGTGGGTAATTAAACCCCCTTATCTTTACCCTGTACACCTGTATCTCTGAAGCCTAAGTAGATTTCCAAGTAGGTCATGTAACCATCGCCTGAGAAGCTGAACTATCACTTTTGAAGAGTGTAGAAGATATGGGAAGATGTGAGTTCAGCAACTCACAGTAAGTCTAAATATGGCATCTTTGGAAAGGATCTCAGATGCAGAAGACTGAAAATTCCCTTACCAGATATCCTGGGTGAGTCACATATGTTATTACCTTGTACAGGTAGAATTACAATGATTTATAGTATTAATATTTATCTAACAATTAGCCCCCTGTTTGAATATGTATTTATGGAAGTGTGCATGCATATATACATATGCATAGATGTGTGTATACACACACACACAAACATATGTGTTTATAAATAACCACCATCATGAACTATTTCTTTGAAGATTTTTCATTTTCCCTAATTGTATTTACAAAAGTCTTACTGTATTTACAAAAGTCTTATGAATATTTCTTTATATGGTCAGCCTGGTATTTTCAAAGTTGCCTAAAGGGCACCGTGGGTTTTGGTACAGTTAGAGTTCTTCCCACTCCCACCAGCTCCTTTTGCTTATCTTAGGTGCTGCTTATATCCTGTCATGTTTCCTCTCTTTGGTCTGTGCTATTTCATACCTGAAGGACATCTTCTGAGTGTATATATTATAAGAACAATAAGAGTTTATGAAATATGGCTGGGTTAATCTGAGCATAGGCACCAGAAGCTGAACAACAAAAAGCTTTGCAGTATTATTTTTAGTAGAGTTGTGGGCTGGGGAATTTTCATGTGATATAATGAACATTTAAAAACATTCTGTTTGGGGTTTTTTTGCCCTCTACCAGATGAGCTTGCTGGATCCTTGAGCTTTCCTAGAGGCATGGATGAAAACTAGTCTTTTTACACAGGCTGTGTGTTCAATGAGAAAGCTCGTAAGTCACTCTGAAACTGTCTGGCATTTTGACAGTATGTCTGCAAATACATTGAAGTGGAAGACTGAAAGAACAAGATGTTGCTGGATTTCCATTTTTTACCTGCTACATAGCTTGAGCAATATTAATCCCTACCTGGCAATTATGAAAGTTTCTCTGAAGAGTAATTATTTGGATCTTCTTCTTTTCTTTTTTTTTTTTTTTTAATCCTGGTGACCTGCCTTAACATTTGACAAATGCAGCAAAACAACCTTCCTGTGCCAGAGGAACTTGCTTGAAAAGAGACCACCTTTATGGTATTTATTTAATGATGGCTGGTTTTGTTTATCAAGTGCAGTGCCTGTTTCAAGAGGAATAAACAACTACTACTTGAAGTATCAAAACATTTAATGCAGTTTTCCCTTGACCATTTCCAAATCATATTTTTATGTTTTCTTTCCCTTTAATCTGGGTCTGGAAAATACCCCAGATTATTTAATGAAAAACTCCTTCTGCCAAAGCTTGATACTTTATTGCTAAATGCTTTACTCCCAAGCAGCCGGGGACCGCAAGTGCCAAAACCCACTGCCAAATGTTCTGCTTAAGCTTTGGCAAATTTGCTTACTCTCTGGCAGGATTTTTGCTTGACCCAGCAGTATTTATTGTCAACATTTCAGTAAATTCAGCAGTCTTTAACTTTCAAGAAGGACTTTGACAACACGAACGTGATTTGTCAGTGAAGTCAGCTAAACTTTTTTCATGAACTCAAAAGGAAAAAAAAAGTGGAGTCTTAACCACTTGTTACATGTGATAAAATCAAGTGGTGGTTGCGCAGTCTGCTGTCCTTACAGATGCCAAAAGACTACGGCAAGCGGTCATAGCAAGACTTAGCCTCATCTGGTACTGGCAGGGTTCACTGAAGAGCTGTAGTAAAGGATGGTGGAGCCAACTGGAGAACTTCAGCTGGTGTATGCGGAGAAAATTATAAAGCGAGAGGTCTTTTGGAAAATACCCCCATCATCTTCATGCCACAGCTATTGCTAAAGAAGCACAGAAAGTGAAGTAGAAGATACCGAACAAGCACAAAAATAGAAAATAAAATTTGTTTATGCTGGATTGTACGTAGGCGAAAGGCTGACTAGCTAGTAGGTGTGTAGTTGAATCCTGCCTGTGAAGGACTTCAAATTTCTGCATATCTGAGCCTCTTGTTTATTTGGATGTAGTCAAAGATAAGTGCACGTATTGTAAACATTGTTTGATACGGGCCAACTGTGGTGAGAAGATCTGCAGAATTCAACAAAGGACCTACTTTTTCAGTGACTACCCTTACAGAAGTCAAGTGACTTCCAAGTGGATGATCTCCTGAAGAGTGGCTGCAGAAGTCTGCCATGAGAAAATGTCAGATTTTGTTATACGAAAGTCTGACAAGAATTAACCCATATCCTGTGTTTTCAAAACTTACTTTTACATTAAAATCACTACTATGTATTTAAAAGATACTTATTGTAGTAGAAAAAAGTCTTGTACAATAATTGTTGGTTCTAAATAAAAAAATCCCTGCAAAATGAAAAGGTATCATTCATTATATTTGTGAGCTATTTTACATTGGCAGTTGAAATTTTGCATTTTTTGCACTATTCGCTTAGTAAAAATAACATTGTTGCTTCCATTTCAAGGGTTACAGGAACATTATCAGTTTCTGTGTACTATCCTGAGGTCAAAACTGTCTTTCTCTTGTCTTTGGTCACACACTGGCCTCTCCCCAACCCCAGGATTTCATTGAAGACTTCTGATTGTAGCTGCAGTGGTTTCCAGCACAATGCTTTTGCGTTGTTTGCATTGCTTTTCATGGCTAATCTGAGCCTTGTGTACTCTTTGTCTTCCCTGTACAACATGTGGAGAAACGCATTTCTCAGAGCGTGCAGAGAAGCCTCCAGGATTCACATGATGGATGCGTGACCTGCAGAGATATTGAGATATATATTGATAATATATAGGCATAGGCGTCTGGGAAGTCTGTGGGCGCATTTGCATTGGCCTTTGGGGTGGATCAGGAAAGTGTTTTTATGTCCACCTCACAATCATCTCTTCTTGCCATGCTTTCGCTTGCATCGTGGAGCAATCTCGGTGTGCACAAACTGATTTCCTGTTGGATGAAACTAAAGCAGAAGCAGTGCTTTGGGATGACACGTATGTGCCCCAACCTCTAATGGGCATTCAGTCCACAGGATTGGACTCGGGCTAGTGCAAAGTAAAACCCTGGGAAATCCAGCACCAGTTACTTTATTCCACAAATCCATTCCGTTTGGGCTGCATTACTTGCTAGCATAGACACAGTCTGTAAATAACATGCTCTGTGGGTTGTTTGATTTTTATTCCCTGGCAAAATATTTGAATAGAAGTTTTCGGTTTATTTGAATTGCTTGATTGTTTGGGGTTTTTTTTGCACATAAATTTCTCACATTTGCTGCTCCTGAGACTATAAAACATAGTCAAATCCTGACCTGAGGGTTACGCGGTTGCTGGCAGCCTGCCTTTGCTCCAGAGCTCCCAGGGCCGGGGCAGAGCTCCTGGAAGGTGTATTACTCTCGATTTTGAGTAGCAGCCCTGAACCCATTTTCCCCCAGCAGAACTCCTGGCTGCTGCAGTTAGCTACTCAGCTGTTATTCTAAATATGCAGAACGGTTGTCACTGTGTTATGTGGAGACTAGGCAGTTGTCTTACTACTTTACATATCAACTGGCTAAAGATTTTTATTTTAGATTTTATTTCAGAAGTATTTTACTAGGAGGGTGAGGATGAGGCCATTACATTCTTACAGCGTTTTTTTTCTTTCTCCCTCAATAGATACATTCTCAGGACTGGATTCAGATGTGACAGCTACTCCAGAGGCATATGTGATATATGATGATGGTACTGTTTAAATGTAAAAGTCTATTGCAAGTGGCATGTTGGGTTTTTTCCACTCTTTCTTTGGAATTGGGTTCAAGGGGACAGGTTGGTGAATGGGAGCTTAAGCAAGCAGTGGTGAGCTGGAAAGGCTTTCCAGAGTCCTGCGTCACATGTGAAGTTCAAGGGTGCAAAGTCAACTGTTTCTGGGCATGAAGGTCCCTTTCTGTCGTTCTGCAGTCTAACAGAAACCTATTGTGGAAATAAATTATGTTCAGATCTGGGTCATACAGTCACCACTTCAATCTTAGACTTCTGTTGTACTCTGGTACAACTTCTAACTCCAGTCCACTCAAAGTCAATGAACTCTTCTAAAACAGAAAACCAAAATACAGCCTGAGCCCTGGAAACTTGAAATACCTTAGTGAGTTTTAAGCACTCTACAGCACTGTGAATATATTTTTTTGTCTTTTTTTTGATGCATAGTCTGCATTTAGACTATAAAACATGCTCATACTGAATGAGCTCACCTACGTATAAAATAATTAATCTGCTGTTTCATGTGGAATTTAAAGAAATTTGAAATCAGATAAAAGGAGAAGGGGGAAATATTTTTGCAATTATATTCATGCCATCTTGATACTATAATTCAGGACACACAAAACTTTGCTGAAGAGGAAGCCTCAAGTCCCAGCATTTAATTTTAAGTTTGCACAGGGAATGCAAATTCTCAATTACTGGAACTAGCACTCACTTTCTGCCATCACTGACTTCTGATGTTCTGCTGCTTTTAATCCTCAGACTCGTTCTCCTACCCCCACATATTAAAGCAGATAAGTACCGAACTCTGTTAAACTCAAAGTGTTCTAGTATTAGCCTTTTAGTAGAATTTATGGCTCTAGAATAATAAAAGTTTTTTTCTTTGTGGATGCAGTACTGGAGTCTTAAATCAAACTAACAAAAACAAAAAAAGGCATTTAAAAAGAGAGTGCAGCAACTGAGAGGAAGATGTCATAGACTTTATTGCTTTTTATTCTGATCACTTCATACTAAGTCCAAGTAAGAATGTGGGAAGGAGAGGATGAACTAAAAACTGCACAAGTCCTGCACGCTACGTTCCTTAAGTCTTCATGAAAGCAGAATGTCCTCAGTGCACAGGTCTTTTGCCAGGCCTCCCCTTAGGGGCAGGTCACCTGCAGAAAACAGATGCTTAAGCAGTTTAAGGAGAAAACACTCAAAAGCCATGAACAGAGTCCCACAGCCTGTGTAAGGACCCAGCAGGGATGAGAAATGCCTCTTGCCTTTCATTTTGTGTGTCCATCTGGTAGCACAGTAGCTTTTCAAAGAGCACTGGATATAATGGGACTGAGTATCGAGGAGGACTGAATCAGGAGATTCATGTATGCCAGTTTGCCTTCCCTCATGGCCCTAATGGGACTACGAATGGCAAGTACAAGACTCCACGCCTCTAAGTTGCAGGAAGGTTTAAGAGCAGTATGAACCAGTTCTAGCATTTTAGAATAATAACGCAGTGTTTTCTTACAAAGCCATTTTTTCACCCCTTTATATCCTTCCTTTGGCATCTGAAGGCTGTGGCCAGGGATTCGATTACTGTGCTGTCCTTCTTTGGGGATGGTAAGAGGAGGTGGCAGACAGACTGCATTCAGGATATTGCTGTATGAATACATATGTTTATTGTCACCCTTTTTACCCATGTAAGCAAGGTCTAAATCAGCAACACCACTAGTATTCTGAGGCAAAGGCTTTGCGCTCGCTGTCCATCAGTTTGGTAGAAACCCTTGCAAGGCCGAGGTGTGACCAACCCTGACGTAGAGGCCCACAGAGAGCGTGCGGCAGCTAGGGTAGGGTACGTGGCACTTCTTTGGGACTGTGGCTGGTGACAGAAATGTTTCCCTTCTCATAGTTAAGCCAAAATAACATGAAGCAAGCTAACATTTTCATCTTTTGTTTCCTCTGAAGACTATGAGTTTTTTGAGAGTACTTTACCACCAACCACCACCACTGTCAGAACCACCACTGCTTCTACAACAACAGAATCAGAAGTTGTCTACCCGGAGACTAGTGTTGTTGGCACCGGCCCTGTGTCAGAATATGATATTGCTGGGAAGAAACGGTTCACTGGTAAGGATGTCCTTTGGTTTATGTAGCTTACTACTTGGGCTGCAAAGAATTCTTCTAGCAAGGTCAGCCCTTAAGCTGAGACCATTGCACAAATATGTCCAACAGACTAGTGTGTGGTCCTTGTAAGGGCTGCCACCTGGGAAACCCAAACAGCAGCGCTTTGTTCATAGCTTTGATGCTTGCATGTCTACGTGTGGACCCACACCGATTTTGTTGAAGCAGCGCAAACCTCTTTGCACTCGTAAGAGAGCAAGAGTATCTTCTCTGGTGCTTGGTTCAGCTCAATTGCATCATTTTAAGTTCACACCAGTAGTTCAGTCAGTGCAGGTAGGTATGAGTCTTCCTCTGGGGGACCTAATTCTTTTCCACTGACCCGTGCAACCCTAGTTATTTCACCCACCTTGCACAAGCATGTGTGTCAAAGGTGTGCTTCAAAGTCAAGGAATGAATGGGATTTTGGATAGGAACTTTCCAAAAAGTAAAATCAACAGAGATAAATTTGACCTTGTTATTTGTATCTTTGCTCTGTGGAAGGAACTTGGTGAAGGAACCCCCAATACATTGACATGAGCCACGAGGCTGGCTTCTGTGTACGTGAGCCATTCAAGTGTGTATGTAGGAGTTGCAGCTCTGACTTCAGAGCTGCTCTGCTTCTTTGTCAGAGAAGCGACTGGGGGGCCAGACTGGAGGGATTTGGAGGTGGTAGGGCACTGCATTCCAGCCTCCACCCCATACTGGTGACCCCCTTGTAGCCCTTTACAAACCTCTGGCATTTGAACTGAGGTCAGGTCAGCTGCTGGCTCACCTGGCATTTCGGATAAGAGTTCAGGGCATGGAGAGTCAGCTTTGACTCATGTCTTGCCTTTCCTTCCAATATCCACAAGCTTCATGTGGCTTAGAGTGGAGCTCTGCTGCTGGAGTAAAAGATTTGTTTGTATATATGCCAAGACTTTTTCCAGTGCATCTTCAGTTTCCCTGTCCAAACAATTTCATGATGTTTCTATTTGGCTGTCTCACTGACAGTGCTTCTTGATTCATTTAGCTAGAGAGGCTAAAATTAACTTCATTGCAAAATCTGGAAAAAATCCCTTTAGGGCATGAAATCCAATAAGATAAACCAAGAAAAGTTGGTTTATGAACATTTCAGGGCACTAGAGAAATAATATTACCATTTCAATGAATTGTATTATTGCAACTGAATAAATATTTCCAAAGCAAGTTTTATAGTCCTTCGAATGTTACAGTGACTTTTAAGGTAATAAAAAGATGGATTAATCTTTTCCTGAACTGAAGTGCAATTCCAGTCAGTATAACGCTTTTGAAAATAGAAGTTACAGGTTGGGATCACATGCCAGGAAGGCAGGGACTCCTGACTCCTGGCCCCTTAGTACCCAGGGAACTACAGCAATAATCCCTTCATTTAACCTGGTCAGACTTCACCTCGGAATGACTCTTGTTCTCTCTGTCGTTTCACCCCAGCTTCAGGATGTTTGTGTAAGAGCCAACCACTAAGACCTGGTAAAGTCTTAGACGATCAAAGGCCCTGGCATGGATCTGTTCCCACATGTGGAAAGGCAGAGAGTTTGGGTGACATTTCCACCCCACCTTCAGAGCACCTGGAGGTAGCGTGCAGAAGGTCCTGCAGTCAGACCGCTCTCTTCTGCCTCTCGTAGCAAACGCGATCCTTCTGTCTTTGCATAATTGGGTACAGTTGTGAGTGTGGGCTAGACCTGAACATTGGCATCCCATTCCCCCTGCACTCAAATTGAGCGCGAGCCATGCTTTGTTGGCAGCAGGGAACCGTCTCTAGGCTGGGAGGGGAGGAATTTTAACATGCATCACAAAACTTGACTCTCTTCTCTTCAGGAAATTGCCAGCCTGTGTGCTACTCTGCAGTACCTACAAACTGTGAACTAAATGCCACCTTTCCCTGTCTCTTCCAGCTCCTTATGTGACCTATCTCAATAAAGATCCAGCAGCCCCCTGCTCCTTGACAGAGGCCCTGGAGCACTTCCAAGTGGAGAGCCTTGATGAAATTATTCCCAATGACCTCAGAGAGAAAGATCTGCGTCCCCTGAAAGCCCCTCACAACATCACTGTCGTGGCAGTTGAAGGCTGTCACTCCTTTGTCATTGTGGACTGGGCCAAACCTGCTCGAGGAGACATGGTAACAGGTACTCTCCTGAGGGTTGCTCTCCTCATGGGGTAGCAGGGAAGGGGAAGGTTTTCTTAAAGGACCATTTTTGCCTTAAACTGAGCCAACGGCTCATGAAGTTCTCATTCTTCTGCAATTTTCTGAGGGAGGTGAGCTACTTTCTGAGTAGCAAGAAAGGTCCCTCTGTCATCCCTCAGTGTCAGACTGACCAGCTCATGCTGGTCCAGCTGTTTAAAAAATTTTGCTGCTGCTTTTGTGCCAGCGGTTCCAAAAGCAGTACTTCTCACCTAGATGGTAGCTGTGATAGCACTTTCCTCAGCTGAGTGCTTTTGCCTCTAGGTAGTGCTGTCAGCATTACCATGGGCACCTCCCAAATCTGCCTTTGGAGCACCTTTCACACTTGGCTTCAGTTCGTGCCGAGCTTGGGTGACTGTCTGTCTGGAACCAGTCTGGGTCCTGCCTGGCTGTAAGTGTGCAATTGACTTCAAGAAAGAATCACAAAAGTCACCAGAAAGACACTAGAATAAATAAATACCCCAAATATTTTAGAAAATAATCAACCCCTGTTTTTCAGTGTCCAAAAGATCTGAAGTAAGCATTGGAAAAGGCCACTGCTTTGGTGCTAATGTCCAGTTTTTGAGGAGCCTGGCCCAGCTCTGCGGCTGACAGCGATGACAGAGGGGTGGGAGCTGGTGGAGCTGAAGCAGTGATAATGGTTGGGAATGGAGAAGGTATCACCTGAACAGGCTGTGTCGTGTCTGTCCCACAGCCTTTAATTCTTCAAGACTGTTGATCCAGTACCTTACCAAGCACAGTTTGCATAACATTTTTTTAAAAAAACCCACAGTATTTCTAAGTATATTAGTTTCTGCACAGTCAATGTATCACTTAAAACAGTGAATGTATTGCCTCTGTCATCGTTTTGCCTTTGCTGGTTTAATCCAGTATTTGTACCTGGGCACCATCCTCTGATATAATGCTCCATCATTATTAGCTAATGACAGGAAATCCTTGTAGCCTGGAATTTTCCAGGGGAGTTAGGCATCAAATCACTTGCATATTCAAAGATGCTTTCACTCCTTTTAATCCATAAAATCTACTACAACACCTAGGGATATTATTTATTTAAAATTTATTTAGAATCCTCACAACTATTTGTCTTTCCCATTTACAGGCTATCTGGTTTACAGTGCATCCTATGATGACTTTTTAAAGAATAAGTGGTCGACCAGGACTGCAGGGACTACTCATTTGCCAATTGAGAACCTGAAGCCCAACACCCGGTAAGGATTTGATCCACTCTTTTTCAGGTCTGTTAGGAAAGCAAAACAAATTTTGAGAATTGCCAATTGTTTTTCTTGGCCTTAGTATAAATGTTTACGTCTGATCTAGATTTCACTCATTCTGTTTGACAGCAAATTGTTATATAAACCGCACAGCTACTTACACGGTATCTTTACCACATTAACTCTGGAGCAGATGACTGTGTGTATATGCATATATGTTTATGTATATAAAAACATGTATCAGTAACAGAGAAAATGTTATTTTAAAAATGCGTTTTCTAGTCTTGCGCGTAACTGAATCAAATTTTCAGGGGAAGAGTATACTAAAGTGTACCCTTGGTGTGATGTGATATGGCCATTCCCACATACTGGCATGGCCAGGATTTGGTACCTAAGGGCTGGTGAGGAGAAGTGCTCTGGTCTGTTTTTGCTGGATGTTCACGAGTTGTACTGGAACAGAAGGCTTGGTGGTATATCATGAGGCTGTGGCAGTTGCTCAGAAGTCCGTTTGGCAAGAGCTTTAGGTGTTTATCTTGTGAAAAATTTCACTGAAACGGCAGAACAAAAAATGCATGCTTTGCGTGATATTGGAATAATTCATGGCAATTGGATGGAAAGTAAATGGCCACAAAGGAACTACATTAAAATTACTTCTTTTGACAGATAATCAGTGGCTCTCATACTTTCCTCTCAAATTCTGAGTCCAAAGTACTTTTGGTGCTGCCTTGGGCTAGGTGATTGCTCTTCAGTTGCTGATGCCTTCAGTCTCTTAGACACTGGTGGCAGGTGTTGCTTCTGCATTTGGTAACATGGGAGATGCACTGGGATTGTGGGCTAGGACTAGCACGCCTCACTTCATGATGAGCTGCAGATCAGAGCATCCGCTCCCAGGACAGGCACATCGGATTTGTGCCAGGGCAACACAGAAGAGAGAAACGGTGTCACCTAAAGTATCTTTTCTTTCCAAGATGATTCATAGATGAAGGGAAAGTTCTGTGGGTTAAAAGCAGTTAGTTGAGAACCTCAACCTAGAAAACAGAGAAGAATTGTTTGAGCACTGCCTTCATCTAAAGTCTTAATAGATTAAATAATAAGATAAATAAATTATGAAAAGTCAATGCAGTGTAGCATTTGGGTCTCAAATATGACCAGGCTTATTTTTTCTGACCACTTTACAGTGCTTCTCCACACAGGTCTGACTTTAGCATAAACTCACACACACCTTGCCCCTGCAGCTGCTGCTGCTGGCCCTGAACATCCACACACCAAGACATCACAGTACGTGTTAGGAAGGGGGTGCTGCTCCCCTGTCTCCTCCCTGGAGATTTCCCTCCAACCAAAGAGTTCTCTGGGGACAGGGCATCCCTTTGGGAGAGCCAGCACTGGAGCAACTTCAGCAGCAGCTCCTTAGGCAGGTGCACCAGGGACACATCCACCAGAGGACCAAAGACCCGAGAAATTAGCGAGGAAAAGGTGTATGGAGAGGCAGGATAAGCATACACAGGAAAACCAAAGAGTTAAAAGAAAAAACAGAAATAAGATGTTACAGGAAACGTGTTGTGCCATTTTATCCTCTGCTTTTCTGTCTACAGCACTGTCAGTCACACACTTCATGAGACTTTTTCTCACATATCCAAGAGATAAAAAAAGGCAACCTTTTTTGAAGATTAATAATCTAGACCATCCACCACCAGCGTGGATGGTGGATTAAAGCAATATTACTTGCACAGTAGGGAGCTGCAGTTGAATGCGCTGCATCTGCTAGTGCCCTTGTTATAAAACATCATTGTTACAAAAGTATGGAGGGAAGCGTGGGGCACAGTTTATCTGTGGGTTTAACCCATTATAACAATAAGGAAGATGTCTGAGATCTCGTACACTCTGTTCCTAGATAGTGAGAGAAGTGGGTGCAGACCCTCCTGCCTTTGGATGTCCACGTCCTTGTGCCTTGAGGACATCCTTTCCTTAAACCTCTCTCCTGCCACTAGTCCCAGTTCCTGCCTCCACATCCCAGACTCCTGTACATCCCCAGTCCTTTTCCCCATCACCAGTTTTCTATAGCCTCTCCTCTGCTCCCCACCTCTCACCCTGTCCCCCATGCAGGCCAGGGAGGCATTGCCCATACGCCCCAGCTTCTCCATCTCTTGCTTCTCTGCCATTTCCAACTTCCAGCCCCAGCTCCTCACCTCTTCACTGTCTTTCAATCAGCCGTCCCTCTCCTGCTGCCCCAAGGACAGCGTTAAAGGCCAGCGATAGCTCTCTGCTTCTTGTGCCCAACATCTCAAGGGCTCCAGGTCACCAAAAGTGCAGTTGCAGTGAAAGCCCCCAGGAGTCCTGCAGCCACTGTCCTGTCTGTGCTTGGTGCAGGGGAATTGATGGGAATTGAGCTGCTGACCTGTGATACATCTGCCGAGACGTACGTTAACTCCAGGCTTCAGAAGGTCACGATTTAGCTTTATTTGAATGGATCAAGGTTATAGGTTCATGCATCTCCGTGAACCTTGTAACTCCCCTGTCAAGTGTGAAGGTTCTGTTTCAAAGTAGGGAGGTTCAAGCAGGTGCTATTTGTTTTAAGCGTGTTATTTCTCCAGCATCTTACTGAAGAATGGTATAATCCATTGGCCTCTGTTGTACGCTCTGCGGAGGCAGTAAAGTCTTCATGTGGGGTCTGTGGTGGAGAAGGAGGGTTCTTTATAACAGGGAAATTGTGTGTATCGGACAATCTCATTTACATTCTCCAAATCCACAGACTGAATTGATTGCATATTTTTTGTCTTAAAAATAACTCCCTAACCACTGGGAAAAGACCCCATGCCTAACTAAGAAAATATGGCATGAAATCTGAAGCTAGTCTAAAAATTTTGTGTTTGCATTGTTAGTGCATTTTGTGAGAAATCTCTGATTAAGTCAGATTTACTTCATGCAGTTGCTATTGACTGCTCGGCATCCCATGAGGGTGCCATTGGTGGTGCAATCTTGTGGCATCCACAGCGTATCAGAAACGGGTTGGCATCTTGGCAGAAGTCAGCCCCAGAGGTTTGAAGCTGTCAACACGTTCTGGAAAACATCTGCCTGGTGTTTACGTTTTACAAACAAAACGGAAGTCTATGTTTAACCCGTGTCATAAGTTTTCTTCTAAGGCCTGGTCTAACCTCCATTTGAGATGTGGAAGTTTTTCCATTAGCAAAACTCTGGTCAACTTCAGTGGGCACAGGAGCTGCTTCCTTGTGACATGTGAATGTAAACACTAAAATGACTTTGAACCTTATTAAATCTTAAAAACAGCAGTCTTGACAGTGTCCCTTCCCTATCCTTAATTCTCAGCCGTCACAGAAGACTGATGCGAAGGGCTGGACAGCATCTGCTCAACCGCTAAATCCCATCTCCTGCAGTCACAAACATTATAATCCTTGTCATAAACATTTCAATCTCTTTCTTGAGCAGGGTTAGCCTTTTTCCTGCCTTTCTGCAGCAAAGCTGTGTCAGTGCCTGATGGGAGTGGCTAGATAGTCTCATGATTTAAAACACTGTCCTTTACCACCATGTCTCCATGTCTCATCAAATCTTCTTCTCTGCCCACTTGGTTTTTGTTCCCTCCAGGGACATTTTGATCCCACAGTGCCTGCTACCAATTCCAGTGTTGTACGGAGCATTTCATAGGTGGCTCTCAAACATTTACTCAGGGCTCACAACTGCAAACAGAGCCTGGATCTTCTGGCTCTGGGGGCCAGATGCAGTGAAAATTTCTGTTCCCTTTCTGTATCTCCATTAAAGCAAAGCCGCAGTATGTCCAACAAGTAGCATCAGCCACAACTGGCTGTTGTGTATCACCAGACAGCACAAGAGGTCAGGTGTCAATGAAACCCGTGTCCTGTGCAACAGGTAGAACTGTGTGGGGCATACCTACCTCATACCAGCTGTGTAGGAAGCTCTTCTTCCAGGTCTGCTCTAGTGTCTTATTATAATATTTGTTGAAAATATTCGTGGTGGATGTAGTGCTAGGCCATTTTGATGGAGGGAGACACTTTGCACGAGCCCGTGAACCTGCAGGCAGCTCATTTACGTGTTTTTCTTCTGGAGGGACGGTGCAGTTGCAGGAGGAGGGTTTCAGCCCCTGCTGCCCTCTCCACATGCTCATGGGAGGAAACCTGTGGGTCCTTCCTGACCCTCTCCCATCCTCTTTTCCCCTTCATCCGCCAATCCCACTGGGCAGCGGGTCTGTGGGGTGCTGTCACATCGGCTGGTCCCCTCCCTTTCCCGGGCAGCGCGTGGCTCTCCCTCCCAGACACCTGCGTGTACCCTCTGCACACCCACCCTCGCGTTGACCCAGGAGGTCCGGCAGCAGCCGTCCCACCATCCCCGTGGCTGGCATGCGGTCGTGGTGCTATGGGTCCTGCCCCGCCAGCACCTGCGGACCGAGCTGCC